TTAGTATGGATAATTTACTTTAAATAGATTACCCCACTCCAAACATAACAAACAAACAAATGTTACCTCTTTAGTATAATAAGTAAAGATAGTTAAAATAAAATTGTACTTACCTAATTAGTGAAATAATCCGTCATGAAGCAAATACCTACTTAAACACTATTTGAATTTCAACTTTTTGTATAAAACCTATGTCACTCTGTAGTCGGCGACAAAAAGTAAAAAACATGCACTTCGTGACTTAGCGTGGACCGCCTGATTACTGCGTCTGTTTGTTTTAAAATATGTAATTACGATAACTGTTTTTAAGTGCGTGCACCGATTGAATGAATAAGAATGAGCTGTGTTCCGCTCCATCAAAAATAACGTCAACTCTTCTGAACTAAAATGTTAAAAAGAGATAGATAATGTGTTTCTCTGTGGTCGGGGATTCCCAGTAAAATGAACTGTATGAACGGATTGAGCACTGCGTTCCATTCTAGTGTTGCCAACACATCGTTTTTTTTTTCACTTACAGAGATGGGAATATAAAGGGGCGCCGCTAAAGTCCGGCACCCCTGGGCGGTCGCCCAACCGCGCCCTACCCTAACGCCGGTACTGGTCATCAAGGTCATCTTCTGAGAGCCAACCGTCTTGTAACTTACTAAGATAATCTTCAATATCTCTTTCATTCAAGCTTCCCTAAAAAACAACACAAAATAAACATTTACTAAAAAATATTTGCTATACATTACAAGTGAAGTTACTGCATAGTGATGTAAATTTCCATCACATAGTTTTGAGGAAATTTATTCACTATGTTTTGATATTAATTGTACATAAATAACAAAAACATGAAAACAAACCTTTTTTCCACTCATTTCCACTTTTATTGTATTTGATATCTGCGATTATTTCCATAAAACAATTATAAATCTCTCTCAGTTTTGTTCAATCACAACAAACAGCAGAATGACAAGTTCTAGGCATAGTAATTGACAGTGACGTTTGCTATTTTTTGACAACTGCGTTTTGTTGTACGCAATAATCGCTTAGAAAGTTGCCAGCAACAACAACTTTACAGAACAAGGGTTTTGAGGACCTTTTTTGTTGACTAAATATTATGATGGAAATTTCCATCATCATGCAAAGAAGGGTTAACAAATTTCATCGATTTTAGGAAAGGTATGCTATGGTTCCATAATTTATGGTGTGGCGACGTTGCGGTGACGGCGCTTCTATACACTTTTCCATTTCTAATGTGATTGAAACTTCCGTTGACACTGTCGAAGAGGTATTCGAAGAACATAAGCAGGTCTGCTGTTTAAGTGCTTTCCTTTTCAAGAGCTCGCAATACTGTAAAGTTATCTATATCCAATACTATAAAACACACATCACATAAACGCTAAGGTTCTTTTAAATCTTTGGTTGCTTTTTGAAATGAAACTCTAGCTGACTTGACCATTGGTCGATTGCGTAGTAACCCTAACCCTAATAAGTGGAGGTTGTGAAAACAATTAGCAAAGGAACAATCTTTGTGATTTGAGCACAATTTGTTCCATTCCTAAATGACTTATAGCATAATAAGCATAATAAGGAATGGCTTATATATAATAAATAGGATATATAATACAAAATAAATAGGAATATAAAAAAGACGAGTTGTGTTCTAACTTATCAAATCGTTTCATTGCTTCCTTCTCAATTTCAGTCTTTAAAAAAATTGCAGCTTCAAATTTCGGAGAAAAGTTTTCCACCATACCTCGCAAACAACTAATAAGTGGAATAACTTTATGTCCAGAAATCTCCTTGGTCAGTTTTTCAAATGGTTTTATCAATTGCACGATTTCACGTTTTTCAACCAATTTCATAATGTCAGCATTGGTGGAGCATCGGAACGGCATAATAATATTGCACCAATCGTTGAAAATAACTCCAAGCAACGTTCTTACGTATAAAATGTGGAATTCCATCTAGTACGTACATCTAGAATAAGCTTCTTTGTTTGACCTTCTTTACAACCGGCTTCTCTTTGTTTTTTACGCAACTTATCACTGGCATTGACACTGCGTTTTACCTATAATCTGAGATGCAGTTTCAGATCTCGTCATTGTATTATCTATAGTTTGGTTCACAGCATGAGCAAAGCACGGTATTTTTTTTCTCCGAACATGTCTCTATTTACCTTCATAACCGTACTATTGTTATCAGTAACAATGGCAGTAACTAATTTTTGGAAATACCTGACATGACTGCATACTTATCAACCCGTTTTTCAAATCTGAAAAAAAAGAACCTATTGTGTCTATCTAAACGTTGAAGTCACTAAAATTATATCGATATCAAAATATTTTAATCGTTGCCCGTCACTATTACAGTGTTAACTAAATATTTTATAAACTTAACTTGCGCATATAAATAACAGTTGGAATAATTTAATTCATAAAATTAATTACGGCTCTATTGTCGGAATACCGAAACGCTACTCAATTTTAAGTCGTGCTTAAGTATAGTTCTATCTCTTCAAATTCTTTGTATAATGACAGAGATGGCACGATATTTGAGCACGACTTAAAATTGAGTAACGTTTCAGTATTCCGGCATATGTGTATCTATCTAAAATATACGACAATAAAATCTGTTTAACCCTTTATTTTTATTTATTTATTAATTTATTCTTTTATGTACACAATTTTACTATGGCACATAAGGCGAACTTAATGCCATATGGCATTTTCTACCAGTCAACCTTAGGGTTTAAGTTGAAAATCAGCGAAAAAGAAGGTACGGAGAATAAACTAACAGCAAAGAGTGTGAGAGAGAAAAAAAAAGAAAATATTAAATAATATAGCTATACATATATCTTATACAATACCAAAGAATATATATAGTCATATGCATAAAATACATACATAAATATATATCGACGAAGGCCTAAACCATGCTTTGCAGTGATTTTAAATAAAATTCGTGAACTTGATGTTTAAAAGAGATTTTATTAGGAGCTTTTTTGATGTTAAGGGGGAGCGCGTTCCAAAGTATTATGACAGTTATTGTAAAGGAATTAGAAACGAAAGAGGTGCGGTGGGAAGGTATTTCAAGAAGCAAGTTGTCCGTCGAGCGGAGGTTACGGTTGTGGCAACTGCCTTATAACTGGAAGCAGGATTTTAAGTATTCTGGAGCACAAGGATCATTAAGAATATCCTTGAAATTTTTGAGGATGTTTTATTTATGTCATTCGTAATTTCTATTATATTGGCAATACTATACAATACTTTTGTAAATAAGTGTAAACGGTAGATTACATATAAATATCAGCTTTTTTAAAATGTCTTTTCTAGTTCAAAACACCAAAACATGACAGCTGTGAAGCTTATTTAACAACCAAGAAGACTTTCTTAAGTAAATTAGCAATATACTTACATATCCTGCTTCAGTATGCTTACTTATTATTACACTTAATTACATAAACTACGTAATTAAAATAAAATCACGAACACTTAACTTCACTTGACGGCTTCGAATCTACATACATACATACATACATAACTTCACGCCTGTCTCCCATGGGGGTAGGCAGAGACTAAGGAACGCCAATTACTACGATTCTTACATACCTCTTTCGCTTCATTAACAGTCATCAATCTTTTAATACAATCTACATAATTTCGTTTTAATCTGGCGGTACCTAGTAATAGCAAGACGCGACGCGACTCGCGAGAAAAAAGAATGGCGCCAGTGCAGTGGCGCGCGCGACATGGTCACGTGACAAAAACGATAGTTACGTACAATACAACAAGATGGCGCTGCAGTCAAACATCGTTCATAAAACATTGATGTTAATACACGATGTATCGATGTTTTCTTGTAGTTCAACATCGATGTTTATGAACGATACCTCGATGTTTTAAAATATCGATGTATCGTTTGCATCCCTAACCAGGTGTAGGGTTCAAATATATGTCATCTGCTACGCACATGGGATTGAGGTCGGTAATTCAGAAAAAAAAATTACTATTGTGTAAATTCTTTTATGTCAGAAATTAATGTTTCATCTGACACATTACTAGCAGTCATACCGCTAAAATCAGTCTTTGAAATCCCATGTTCATCGGTCTTACTTTTGACTGTACGAATCATACGATCAGAAATACCCAATGTATTAAGAAAAAAGGTTTTACAAACTCGAATTGGACTACCATCAACAATAAAATGAAA